AAATATAATCAAATATTATTGAGACTTACAAAGGTCATTTAATATAAAATTATAAAACAAGTAATAATGAAAATTTCATGTGTGTATCTATTAACAAATCAATTTTAATAATTCATCATAATTTATATCAAATGGTTAGCATTAATTAACCTGTTGATACATGGAGAAGCATCTGGACTTTTGTGCATTGCTTTGCAAACTCCAAAACATACTTTGCTCCCAAGGTTTTGATATTCAAAGAAACATCATATCTAGAAAAGATACATACAAATAAAATTAATAAAATAATAATAAGAGTTTTATGGTAATATTAATTAAACTCAAATTCTCTCCATGATATTTGAAATATTAAAATTTTAAATACCTCTCATAAAAGTTGGTACTTCCAGCCACATTGACAACAATGTCAATCTCCTCCCATAACATTTCTTTAAGATTATAATCCTCAATCCCTAAATCTTCATAAATAATATCTCTTGCAATTGAACAAACCTTCTTGGATATAAATGAATCAAAGTCCTTCCGATGTTTCTCTTTAAAGACTTCAAAAATCTCCTTTACAAGCACCTGATTAAGGAAGTGATTATCAAATATTCATATTGTAATATTCTAATTATTAGTAGTGTTATAGAGTAAAAATAATAATTCTATAGTATACACTACAGAAAAATCATCCATTATCGGTGGCTTTCCAACATATTTCCGATGGAATATGTCCGATTAATTTTTCTACAAATTTTCCGGTTGCTGTCCGGTGGTTTTGGTTCCAGTGGCATTTCCGACGTCTTTTCCATAGGATTTTAATTCTTATATTTTAGATAAAAAATGTGATAGTTAAACACTTTTTCCCTTCCAACAAAATGGTTAGGTCTTTGAAATCATACTCACTTTGAATCCCAGCACGGTCAGTAGGGCAGGGTTGGCGGGCAGCGCGGGATGCGAGACTAGGCAGGTGGCAGCCTAATTTTTTTTAATAATTTTTTTTTTAATTTTCAGCGGCATTATTCCACTGGAAAGCCACCGTAAAAAATAACTGTAGAAAATTAGCCACTGGTTGTCATTTCCTACGCTAGTTTTACTAGTGGAAAAATATTCTCCAGAAAGACGTCGGAAATCTTAATTTACACTAGAAATTTGCCAATTTTCACCAACCCACCGATAATAGACGATTTTCCTGTAATGATGTTTAATATTAGTAATGCTTGTGAGATTTTAACCTCTAATTTGTTATTATAACAATTTTGAATAATTTCATATTTTTCAACATATAATTCAAAATCAACAATTTTATTATTATTAAACTAAAAGCATTGGTGGAAAGTCTCCTTTAATGATTAAAAGGAAAAAAAGTAAATAAAAACAAGTTATAACCAATGATTGCTAATTACATTACAGTCCTTCAACAACTTATATCCAGAGGAAATTATATACATAATATATATTTTCACCTAAAATTACAAAATTACCCTATCTAAGTAACCTATTAATAAATTTCCATAAAGAATAAACCTTTATAACAAGTCACATGTAGAGCTAAATCTTATGTTCGAATTTTAAAATTTGTTAACTAATCACTCTAATCAAAAGAAACACACACACTCTTTCTCTCTCTATACATATTTTATAACAATAATAGATTTAGCTTGAATCTATGAAAATTTGATTTAAAATTGACCAAGTTTCATAAATCCAAGCCTTGCTAGCGCAAATTCAAAATTTTTTATTCAGGTCTTGATCAACCCATTTGAAATCGAGCAAAGTTGTGTCTAACGGCTCAATATGATCAATAATGATAAATATTAAAAAGAGAGTTATACCTCATTTTGCACACGCTCTGTAGCAAATTTGGCATCCTTAGCTCTCACAAGAAGGAAGAGTTTCTTCACATTAGGTTGAACTCTAAGAACCTTCTCCACAAAGACTTCAAACCAAGAAACAAACAACAACATGCGTTAGAACTATATCTTTAAACTTTTGAAAGTGTGACCAAGGCTTTGTTATTTAAAGCAAAAATTTTTTGTGCTAAAATGCTTCTTTAAGAAGCAGGAAGAAAGCAATCTCAAACGAAGCCTAAAACAAAATCTCATGTTATATAAGGCATATTAATAGACGAAATGGTTTGTGAGATAATACTCTTTGCTAGAAAAGCAATGGCACCAGTGACAAAGATGCTCTTATCCTTTAAGTACTCAACTATACTACCTATCTCCATCGTGAGCCAAAAGTTTTTATATAAAAACTATCAACAAAGAAATATAAGGAATCAAAGAGATGTAGATTTAAGAGAAGTTTCCTTAGGCATTTATTTATATAAAAGATGGGATGGAATATGGCATATGTCCAAGAGATATCCTTTTCTTAAAGTGATAATTAATATGGTCATAGGTTGGCCTTGTATTATTATTATTATTATTATTATTATTATTATTATTTCAATTTTTTTTCTTTTTATTTTAAGACATAAATTCAATCTTATTTTTTCATACTATATATATATATATATATATATATATATATATATTCTTTTAAAAAAATTAATTATATTGCCTAATATTTTGAATTGCGTTAAACTCATTATATTTAAAGTTCATATGAGAGCATTCAAGGTAGGGCTGTCAATAACTGACATGACCCGAAAACCAGACTCGAACACGACCCAGAATTTTTGGGTTGGACACGACCCATTTGGAAAATGGGTCGGGTTCGGGTTCATAAAAATGACACGAATTGAATTTCGGGTCATATCCGGGTTGACCCGATAACCCATTAACCGACCCGTTTGACACGCAAAATTATTTCACATGGAGCGGATTACTTAAGTCGTGTTAGGGTTTTACGCCATCCATTTTCATTTCACGCGCCGTAGCTCTCCTCTTCTTCGCTGCTTCGTCTAGGGTTTTCGAAGTTCTCTTCTCTAAAGATCTCCTCAATCTGTCTCTGGTTTCCTCTTTTCTTCTTCTCTGGCATATTCTTGGTCCGTGGATTCGTGGTGTTCATCGTGCACATCTGCTTTGGCTCAATATGAATACTTACATCTATCATTATTTGTATCTCTCATCTTTTTCCCTTTCTTCTCCTTTTAGAAGCATGATATATAAGATTATGAGCATAGGAGAGATTTCTCTTGCTGTGTTGCGAAGCTCCGGCTCGATTTTCTGGTTTTTTGGGGTTAGGATTTTTCTGATATTCTAGTGCAAATGAGCCAAGTCGAGCTAAATTTTCTGGTTTTTTTTGTCAGTTTCAACTGGGTTTCTGCTAGTTTACTGCAGTTATGCACTTATGTTCACTTACTACTATATTTCTGTTCAATCGAGCCATGTCGAGCTCTATGTTCTGGTATTTCTGTGCAATTTTTGTTGTTATTTATGTGCAAACGAGCCAGGTCGAGCTCTATGTTCATGTATTTCTGTACTGTTTCTGCTGTTATTTCTGTGCAGTTTCTACTATTATTTCTGTGCAGTTTCTGCTGTTATTTTTGTGAAGCTACTACTGTTATTTCTGGGCACTTTCTGCTGTTATTTCTGTGTAGTATCTACTTTTATTTCTGTGCAGTTTGCTGTTATTTCTATGCAAAAGAGCCAGGTCGTGCTCTATGTTCTGGTATTTATATGCAGTTTATGCTATTACTTCTGTGCAGTTTCTACTGTTATTTCTATCTAGTTACTGCTATTTTTTCTGTTCAGTTACTACTTCTGGTTGACACCCATAGATTCCTAGTTATTTTGATGAGTTGTTGTTCAACAACACATTAAGAACTTGCAATTATTTGGCCATTATTAGTTATTACTTATTACTAAGTATTTGGAGTAACAAGCCTTCAACCCATTAAGTATTGAAGTCATACTTCTTTTTAGTGTAGGATGGTTGGCTTGGGCAGTTAGTTGGCCGTTATAAAGTCTCAATGTGTTATGTGTATTTTTTTGAAAAAGGAATTTTACAAATAGCATTATGAAGTTGTAATATTTTATAATTTTTTTTTATTAAATGGAGGATTCCAATACCATTCATGGGAATTCTTCTTTTGCTGAAAATGAAGAACCCCAAACTTGTGAAATACCTGTAGAGCCCTCTAACGATCAATGTAATGATGTGACAGTTACTAAGAAACGGCGAAGAATGACCTCAGTTGTTTGGGGTCATTATGAGATGTTACCTATTATGAAAGATGGAAAACAAAAATGTAAATTCAAGAAATGTGGTACTACTTATCTATGTCATAGCAAAAATGGAACCGGTAATCTTAGACACCACCTCAAAAATTGTAAGAAAAGAAATATGCGTGATATCGGACATTTGATTTTACAAACCAACACTGAATCTTCAATATCTATGTATGATGACAAGTTTGATCATGCTGTATTTTGTGAAATTGTTTACTGCTTCTATCATCATGCAAGATTTACCATTTCAATGTGTTGAATAGGTTGGACTTCGACCAGTTTTGTTATATCTTTGTCGTGACTTGTAATTAATTTCTAGATACACTGCTAGAAATGATTGCAAAAGACTATTCCTTAAGAAGAAGATTAATTTATTGGAACATTTATCTAGAAACACTAGCAGGGTTTGCTTAACATCCGACCTTTGGACATCTATAAATACTGATGGTTTTATTTGTTTAACTACTTATTATATTGATAATGATTGGCATTTGCGAAAGAAAATTATTACTTTTGCATTCATGCCACCTGCCCATGATGGAATTTCATTGTTTGAGCAGTTACAGTTGCTTTTGGTTGAATGGAAAATAGAATCCAAGCTCTTCAATTGCTTTCGATAATGCTTTTGCAAATAATAGTTCAGTTGATTATCTAAGAAATCATTTGAATTTGTGTGGTGCCTTGATAATGGAGGGTGCTTTTTTTCATATACGTTGCACAACACATTTAATAAATCTTGTAGTTCAAGAAGGTTTGAAAGACATTGATAGTGCAACTATTAAAATAAGAGAAAGCATTAAGTATGTTAAGGGATCTCAGGCTAGAAAACAAAAATTTCTTGATTTGGCTTCACAAAGTTTCTTGGATGGGAAACGAGGTTTACATCAGGATGTATCAACCCGATGGAATTCCACCTTCTTAATGCTTGACAGTGCAATTTATTTTAAACGGGTTTTTCAACTTTTAGAATTGGTTGATTCTAATTACAAGAATTGTCCAACATTTATTGAATGGGAAAGAGCTGAAGAGATTTGCAAGTTTTTGGAAACTTTATATGAAAAAACTTCTCTTATTTCTGGGTCTAAATATCCTACAGTAAATTTATATTTCTCTTGTATTTCAACAACTTATGCGGAACTTAAAAATATTTTGGGCAGTAGCCATCAGTCCCTAAAGAAAATGGCTAATGTAATGATTGTAAAATTTGAAAAATACTAGTCAGAATTAAGTGATATTTTGGCAGTAGCAATGATTCTAGATTCGAGATACAAAATGGCATTTGTTGAGTGGTGTTATCAAAAATTGTATGGTGGCAACTACCTCTCCAAACTTAGGAAGCTGAAACTCAAGTTAATTTTATTGTGTGCTAGCTACTATACAAGCATGAATTCTTTATTAGGAGGACCTACAAGAAACAATGAGGTTGCACATGGGTGTCCTACAAAGATTAAGTCTAAATTTTTGCAGGTTCTTTGTTGAACTTTGTACGTATATTTACCAATTTATTTATTTATTTATTTTCTAATACCAATCCAAAAAATACAGGATTTTGCTTCATTTCTGAAGGATGCTTATACACCTAGGAAATCTAAATTATATATCTACCTAGATAAACCTAAGCTTGATAGCAGTATTGATTTAGACACTTTAAAGTTTTGGCAAGGGAACCAATATAGATTTCCTAGTATTTCAACAATGGCTCGTGATGTACTATGCATTCCAATAACAACAGTAGTATCTGAAAGTGAATTCAGCAATAGCGGTAGAATTTTAGATCAATACCGAAGTGCATTAAAACATGATATTGTTGAGGCACTAATTTGTGCTAAGGACTGGTTATACGGAGAGCATGGTGATTATTCATTCATGTTACATTTTTTTGTGAATTTATTTGCTGTCTAATTTTTCTTTAAATTGATGTTATGAACTATTTTTATGGTGCTGTCTCTAAACAACAGAAACTGGTTTGATGGTTGGTTGCTGTCTCTAAACAACAAAAAACTAGTTTTATGGTTGGCTACTTGTTTGTGTTGTTGCTGGGTTGCTAGTTTGCTTGCTGTCTTTGGGTTGTTGTTGTCTTTATGCATTTTGCTGGGTTGGTTGTGGTGGTCGGGTTTGGTCTCTTCATTTGGTTTTGCTGTTAGCTGGACCATGTTTTCTTCTGCTATCTGTCTGCCTATTAATGTGTTGTGTTTGTATAATTCTTGGATCATTATTTTTGTGGATTATCTGTTTTGTGGAGGTTCCTTTTCATCGGATTTTTTGTTTCTGTATGTGCCATTATAATTCTTGTTGGAGGGTTGTTTACCCATTTGCCAGATGTCTTGAAGTGCTGGTTTGCTGGGATCGTTTGCTCAACAGAAAAAATAGTTGAAACTGCATAGAAATAACAACAAAAACTAGTTTGATACTTTGATGGTTGGCTGTGTTGTTGGGTTGGTTGCTGTCTTGGTGTTGTTGTTGTCTTTAAACATTTAGGGTGTTGAGTTTGACGTGTTTAGTTGGATTACATTGGTTGCTGGGTTTGCTGTGTTGTTTCTGGGTGCTTCAAGAAGCTCAGGGATGTTGTGCTGAACAGAAAAAATAGTAGAAACTGCACAGAAATAAACTTATATGATGTATTTTATATGACGGTTTATTGGGAGGTTTTGCTGAACAGAAAAAAATAGTAGAAACTGCACAGAAATAACAGAACAGAAATAAATTTAGTGGTTTCTCTGCTGGTTGGCTGGGTAGCTCGGTTTGCTGTGTTGACAGGGAGATTGGTTGGCTGTGTTGGCACTTGGCAGGGAGATTCTTTTGTTGTTATTCCTGTTTTGCTGTGTTGTTGTTGGTTGGCTGTGTTGATGGTTGGTTCCGAAAGGATTGAAAGTTGAGTAGCGATGATGAGTACCCTTCTAAACTTATTGTGAAGTCAATTGTGGGAAAAACGTTATTGCAACCAGGTGGCATTTGGAGGGTTAATCAAAGAGATACTAAGTATAAAATACAAAATGCTGCCTTGGATGGCAATTTCTAGATTCGCAAGTCCGCAACCAAAAAAAATTATATT